CTGAGGGTGACAGTTGGACTCAATGAGTCTGAGAGTGTAGGAGGCCCTGCCTATGTCAGTGTGCCTTAGTGGTCACAGGCTGGAGTTCTGGGGTCAAACAGGCTGTGTGTCCCTTAGCAATGTACCTGACCTTTCCTCATCTTTATTTCCACATCCACAAAATGGAGATTAAAAAGACAGCACTTGTGGGGCCAACAGATGCTGTAATGGTTACGTTACTGAACTCCTACATAGTCAACTGCAGTTTGAGTCTCGGATTCCGTGGCTTAAAACACACTGGGTGTGTGCTTGTGTGTCCAAAGTCCTAAGAGGAGAATGGACTTTGGATTGCAACATGACCATCCTTCCTAGGGGGTGATTTCTCTCTCTCTGTCTCATTGTCTCTGTCTCTCCAGCAAGTGCACACACCCTATAGAATTTAAAAAAACATCACTTATAAGAATTGGCTGCATTTCTGCAAGCAAAGTCCCTGGCTCACTGAGTGGATGGTAACTGTTTATTTTAGACTAGGCCCCCTGTGTGCGTTGGAGCCCTGCAGTAGTGGATGTCTATAACAGTGACCAGTTCTACCATTTAAAAGTGTGTACATTTCCCCAGTGTGACTCTTTGGTCATGGTCTTCCCATCAGGTTCGCTGATCAGCCTCTACTGCTCCTCCCAACAAGTCCTGTGTCAGATCATCGGTGACCTCAGCCCCGAGGTGCCCAGCAATGCCACCCTTAGCAGCTGGAAGGAGAGGATCAGGCAGCACTATGGCTTCTACATTGGCCTGGGCCTGGCATTTGTGTCCAGCTTCCTCATTGGCAGCAGTGTCATCCTCAAGAAGAAAGGACTCTTACGACTTGTGGCCTCGGGATCCACTCGAGCTGGTAGGCTCCTGTTGGTGCGGGAGGCTGGGGCACAGGGCCGCTGAGCCCTCAGCTGGCTTCCCTTCCCAGGGACCAGGGCTGCAGTCTGGGAGTATGGCTTCAGATGGAACCCAAGGCTCCTTATCAACCTTGACGGGAATCCCACCTGCCAACAGAAGACCTTCCTTTATACTCCAGTATTTTCTGATTACTTGCCGATATGCTCATTGGAGTTAAGATAAGTCTCAGGACCAAGGATCAGGTACTCCAGGTCCAGTCCAGGTTTTACTTCTGGTCAGATGTGTCATCACAGGCCAGTCATAACCTCTCTGCAAAATGGAAGTGCAGATACCTCTGCCCAGAACACAGGCAGACCCTAGTGTGACCTCACTTACTTCCACTTGTGTATCCATGAAATAATTGTGGACAAAAAGGCTCAGGTGTAAAAGAGTTTATTCATTTCACCATAATTTATTGTATGCCTGTAGTGTGCCCAGTATGATGCTAGTCATGGGGGTACAGTGTCCTCCTGGAGCCTTCAGTCAAGTGGGAGAGACAGATGGGTCAACAGCCGATTACTCTGTAGTGTAAGTGGCATCATCTACAGACTGGCATGGGACTATTTTGGAAGAGCAGGTAAAGCCAAGACTTAAAGCTAAAGGAAGTTTTCTATAAGAAAATCTCCAAACTGAAGCTAAAACGATGAGGACATAGCAAGGTGTAGGAGAACAGAGGGAGCCATCATGGTCCAAGCAGAAGGCAGAGCATGTGCAAAGGCTCAGAGGTGAGAAAACTTGAGTAATATTAGAAAACGATAGTCGTTCAGCATAGGAGGGTAAAAGATGAGGTAAAGGTCACCTCATGAAGGGTCTAGCAAAGCAGGCTACAGAGTTTGAGTGTCATTGTTAAGTCCCTGAAAGGTTTAAGGGAAGGGAGCGACACAGTCTGACTTATGATTTGGAAGGATCCCTGTTGCTGGGCAGAGAATGGATGGGAGAACATGGGGAGAGGCTGAGAGCCAACTGGGTGAACACGAGGACGGGACTTGGGCTGGGAGATGGCGATGAGAAGGGGGACGAGTGGTGGATTCCAGAGATGGTTTTCACAGGGAGCATTTACTGGCCGTAATGTTGACTGGCTTTAAGGGGGGTGAAAAAAGGAGTCAGAGATGACTCAGGGTTCTGGCTTGAGCAACTGGGAGACGATGGTGCTGTTTTCTGAGATGAAGAATGCAGAAGGAGAAACAGGTTTGGGGGAAGATGCTATGTTCAAGTTCAGACGTGCTCATTGAATGTTTCTGTGGGACATTGTGCTTTGAAGCAGACATGTAAGATTCCAACTCTGGCTCAGCAACTCCTCCTGACGGGATCCTCCTGGGCAAGGAAAGATGTTTCTGTTTGTTTGTTTTTGTTGTTGTTGTTTGTTTCCTGTGCTTCAATTTCCTCAGCTATGAAATGGAGATAACAGTCGTTTCAGCCTTAAGGGTTATTAAGAAGACATGTAGGGCCAGGGGTGGCACTGGGCGGCACAGCTGTACCCACGAGGGGATGGTCTTAGGTTTGTGTACAAGACCTCCCTGAGTGTGCTGGGTGCACACACATGCCTTGATCTGAGCAGCTGAGGCTGGGGTGGATCACAGCATGAAGACCCTATTGGAAGTACCGGTCTCTCGTTCTCTCTCTGTCATGGAATAAATAAATAAATGAACTTAAAATAAAAAGAAGGCACGTAATGTGTTTGGGAAGATGCTTGGTACAGAAGGAGTCACAGTGTTGGTTTTATCATTATGTAAGAGGGAGGATCAGGCAGATAGTCACGTGCATAGCTCTAAAGCCTTGTGTACTCGAGGTACAGGGATGAGACTGGAGCAATCACCTTTACTGTTCTGTCTTTCACTTCTGGACAAGTTTTCAAAAGGCCAGAGACTTCCCAAAGTGCCATAGAAATGTCTGTTTGTGCTCAGGGGGATGTAGGGCAAGTGTCAACGCCCATTCAGAAAGACAACTTCCCTAGAATCTATTTTTTCCTTCAATCCACTATCAGAGTATTTTCTGAAATTTCAACCTATACGCTAAATTGTTCTCAAAGTTCTTAACATTTATAGAAGATTATTAATCCATTAGGGACCTGATAATAGCAAAAGTCCTTCCCATTATCTATGAACTGCAACATACAATTTTTGAATTTTCACAAAACTGTCTACAACCCATCCATCATCATCATCTTCACCACCGCTATCATCACCATTCTTATCTATTATTGAGTATTGATTATGTGCCAGGCTTTGAGCAGGTAGACACAATTTCTGCCTCCAGGAAGCTTCTAGTTTAGTGGGAAAATTGCCAGAAAATAAGCAGTCAGTTCAGATTATAAATGGCAAGTCCCATGAAGCAGAAGAGCTGGTCTTGTGAAAAAGAATCCCAGGGGGAAATTATAGCATTAAGGCGATGAGGGAAGGTGTCTGAGGGGAAACAGCATTCAGAGATCTGTGTAGTGAATGTAGATTTAGACAAATTCTGGTAGGAAGAATATTCTGGACACAAGGAAAAGCACATGGAAAAGGCCTGAGGCAGGAAAGAGCTAACTATTCTTGAAGCATTCAAAGTAAACCTAAGCAGCTAGATTGTAGAGAAGGAGGTGATCAGGGCCAAAATTTTTCATGGTCTTCTTAAGGATTCTAGACTTTATCTTAAGAGCAATCAGAGGCTGTTGGCCAGCTACCGATAGAGGTGTGCCGTTCTTTGATTTACGTTCTTAAAAGACCACTGGCTGCCTTGAGAGGAATGGTTTATCAGAGGGATAAGTGTGGAACCAGAGAAACCAGGAGGCTGTTGCCTGCTGGACTGGAGGTGGTGGTGCCTTAGAGTGGTGGTGCCAATGGAGTGGACACATCTGAGATGGTTTTCAGAGACAGAATCAGCAGGTTAGACTAGATGCAGCCATGGGGGGACGAAGGTCAAGAGAAATTCCATGGTTTCTGGCTTAAGTCACTAAGTACATGGAGATGCCATTTACTAAATTTCATTTGATGGATCACGAACATTTAAAATCAAGAATGTGGTGCAGGATAGAGGCTGAGATGCCTGTGATAGATCCAAAAGGAGATGCCAAGTAAATAATTAGACATTTATCTGCCTCCAAAAAAATACCCAGAGCTAGATATGAAATAGGGGCAGTATGTATAGGTGGCACTTAAAACTCTGAGAATGGGGACCAGCAGATGGCGCAATGGTTACATCGCTGGACTCCAACGTAGTCGACCATGATTCAAGTGCCAGACCCAGCAGCTTGAAATACACCAGGTGCATGTGCGTGCATGCCCAAGATCCTAAGAGGAGAATGAAGGAGAAGGGGTTGCAGCGTGGCCATCCCCCAGGGGGGTGATTTTTTGCTTTCTGTCTGTCTGGCAAGCTCACATACCCTATAGCAAAACAAAAACAAACAGAACAAAACAAAAACAAAACCTCTGGGAATGGATCAGCTCACCCAGAAGAGGGCCCAGGACCAATCTTCGAGGAGCACTTACAGATCAGAGATTGAGGGCACGGTTAGGAAAGTGTGACCATACTCTAACTCTGTAAATTCCTTTCTGCAGTGGACGGAGGCTATGGCTACCTGAAGGATGCAATGTGGTGGGCTGGATTTCTCACCAGTAAGTGGAAATTCTTCACTACTAACAGTGGCCTATTGGTAGCAGGGATGGAGATGGAGGGGTGGATGAGGCACTTTTGTCCCAGTTATGGAAAGTATGAATCTGAGGTCCAGATTCCTAGGGGAAAACTGTGACAACATCCAGGAAGCATCTACCCACAGAGAAGTGTGTTCAGAGCTGCTAATAATAAAGGTGCATTTTCTTGGCTTCCCTGAAACATGGGACAATAATATTACTGCTTGTTGACAGTGGGCTCTGGGAATTGTACGTTGTAGAAACCAGGAAACCCCCCTCACCCCCATTCCATAGGGAATTGATTTGTTGGCCCACTTAGGACATAGCTGGTCTACTACTTAATAGTTGCCCAAATTTTCATGCTCACATATTTCTCCCACCTTCCTCTCACCTGATCAAGCTATCAAACCCTAATTCTTTTAGGTGGTAAATTAGCCAGCTTCGTATTTATAGTTCTGGAAGTCAGTTTTGATTCCCGACTTAGTCAAAACTATCATGGTCCTCGCCTGCTTTCTCAGGGGAGGCCCGGTGGTTCTCTACCAGCAGAAAGAGGGAAAGGCGTTTGTAGGAGTTTGCAAACTAGAAACTCAGCAAGGGAGAACTTAGGCCCTTTAGGAATGTCAGACTTCTCTAATCACCTGCTGGCCCATCTAGATTATGCACAATTTCCCTAGGAAAGAGAGGCCCATGGACCAATTGATTGTTGGAGAATCAATCTATGTAACTGCTTCTTCATTTTATGATTAACACTTTCCATAACTTACCTTAAGGATTCAGGCCAAGGGCCAGCCCATGGCCTGGTGGTTAAGGGGGTTGGATTCCACATGGTTAACCATGCAGCTATACTCCTGGACACAGCAGCTTGAACGACATGCCATAAGTATGTACATGTGTCTGCTCAAAATCTTAACAGGATGGAGAAATGAAGGAAAGGGGATTGAGGCATGATCACACCTCATGGGAGATGCTCTCTTTTCTTTTCCTTTTTCTTTCTTTCTTTTATTATTATTATTATTATTTTTTATTTTGCTGTAGAGTGCATGTGCTAGCCAGAGAGAGAGAAAGAGACAGAGGGAAAGTGAGAAAGCATACTCCCCACCCCCAGAGGAAATGGCCATGCCTCAATTCCTTCTTCTTCATTCTGCTCTTGGAATTTGGGGTATGTATGCACAAGTGCCCAGCGTGTTTTTCAAGTTGCCCAGTCCAGGACTCAAACTGCACAAGTAGACCCTGAGGGCTTCAGCCCTCTTAACCACCATGTCACTAACTGGTCCAAGAGATGCTTTCTTGCTTTCTCTTCCTCTCTGGCCAGTGCGAGCACCCTCTGGCAAAATTAAAAAAAGAAAAAGAAAAAACATTTCAGACCAAAATATTGGCAGTCGCTGAGACATACTTAACCATGCCTGAGCTAGAAGCCAAGAGACCTGAAGAACCACGAACATGTGATTTGGCCTTGGCCCCTGGGTCTCAGCTTTGGCATCTTCAGAATGGACAGATTAAATCAGAATAGACAGGGCCTGACCTGATCAGGCTCTCCAGGGAGACAGGTGGAGGCTCAGGACTTTAAGGAATGCTGGGCTGGGAGTCTGTGAGGGCTGAACAGTGAAGGACGTAGTTTCTGCCCACACTAGTCTGGAATGGAAGATGGTGCACCTGTGTCTCACTAGCTCTCTCCCCCCTTCATTTTTTCAGTGGCTGCTGGAGAAGTTGCCAACTTCGGGGCCTACGCATTTGCTCCTGCAACAGTCATCACACCTCTGGGAGCACTGAGTGTCCTCATAAGGTTACTGTCACCTCTGTAGCCATTTCTGGCTCCTTTTTTTCAATGTATTGAGGCCTGGAATTGCCAAGTGGTAATCAGGAATCTGGGCTGGGACCAGCCCCCATAAAGTAGCAGCGTGCTGTTCAGAGCTCTGCACCTTGGGATTATTTGAAGCCACCTACCCCAGCAAGTCCTCTGCTGCCTGGGTAATAAAAGGCAGGCCAAGCATGAGCCCTAGGTTAACACTATCTGAGTTCTAATCCTTGCTCTACCACTTAGCAGTTATACTACCACGAGCAAGGCACTTACCCACTCAAAGTCTCAATTTCCCCACCTGCAAACTGGGATGCTAATAAAACCTACCGGGAAGCATCATTCCAAGAGTAAATGAGATAATGCACAGAAATTGCATAGAACAGAGCTGGTACCAAAGTATGATCTTGACTGACATACTGAGAGTTTACGGTCTTCTAAATTTATGTTGTGTATTAACTAGTTTGATCCTCACAGAATCCTTACCTGAGGCCTAGGGATGTTAAGTAGCTTGGCCAAGGTCTCCAGGTTCTAAATGGCCAGGATTCTAACCCAGGCAGCCGAATTCTAGAGCGCAGGTGCTTAATCATTATGCCATGTTACCCCTCAGGTAAACTCAACCAAGGTCCTGATGAAGTTTCAAATAACTGTTCCTAAAAGTGTGTGCTTTCCACTGTCCCCAATCATTCAGAGCTACTAACACAAAACCAGTTCCTCTGTGGGGTCCGGAAGTCCCATTTCAAGGAGGTTCTGATCACTGGCCTAACTTTGGAACGCTGATAAATTCTAGCCAATCATGCCCAGTATCTATAATCTCCTCCATTTTGTTTTATCATCTTGATGACAATTTTGCAATAATTACACAGTCAAAAAAAAAATAGAACCATGACTCACATTGTACAACTGGTCTAGCTGATTTCATGGCTGACGTAGCTGATGCCACTATCACACACCTGATCAGTGCACACCTTCCCACTCCTGGGAAGTTGGGAGAGGCATGGAACTCAGGCGTGTGACCCCTCTCCCGTGTGAATGTCACCTGGCTCTTTTGAATGGGACGTTATGAGTGAAATGTTTTTTTGCTAATTTTAGAGGAAAGATAGGAAACAGGTCGTTCAGTCATCAATTCCTTCTGTGATGACACCTTAAACTAAGATGTTTGGGGTTAACTGGGTCCCAGGACAACCAATAGAATTTTACCCTAAACTTATACTTCCTTTGTAAAGAAACAGAAGCATGCCCCACCGAGGCTATCTGACTGCCCAATCCTCCTTCCCACAACCTCTGCTGGCTCATCTAGATGACGTGTGGGGAATGGGAATTATGTCATAAAAGAATTACAAGGAACTGCAGGTATTTTGCTCCAGAAAGCGAAGACCCAGGGAAGCCACAAGAATCCTCTTCAATGAGATATAGAAGAAAACCCACTGACTTTATAGCAAGACAGAACTTAAAATCAGATCCTGGTTCCACAACTTACCTTGCCAAGTTATTTTAACTTTTATGAGACTGTCTTTTTATCTATAAAATGGTGATAGTATATTTTATTTCATGAAGAGTTGTGAGTTGTTAGCAAGAAAATAAAGTTTCTAGCACAGTACCTAGTTGATAATGTATACCTAAGCCTTGGTGCCCATTAGTGTCATTGTGGTTATTAGAATACGCCAATGGGAGAAAACAAAATAGATTTTTCTGTGTGACCCAAGGAATAGAAGTGGGACAAGGAGTAGAAATTACCAGAAGTATATTTTTGGTGAATAATTAGAGCATATTATAATGGGTTTGTTTGACTTATAAAGCGTGAGCTCCTGGCCAGCAGAGGTATGTTAGCCAAGGCTGAAAGCCATCCATCAGCAGTGCTAAGAGGATGTGTTCATTGGGTAGGAAGGTAGACAAGAATGCTTTGAAGGACTCTTCCAACTCTTTTGTCTGGGAATGCTTTAAGTCTCTAAAATGAAAGAAATCCACCTGCATTTCTACTTCTTCAGTAATGCTGGAAGGCTCCCAGAAATCACTTTCTATTTCAAACACTGGTGGGAGTACCATCTAGAAAAGTTTCCTCATGAGAGAGTAGTGAATTCTGAGTAATTATTCTTCATGAGTGCTTGCTCAGCCTTGTTTTCCTTTGGGAAGCTGGGACAATCATGGCTGCCCTGATCCCCTTCTCCCATTCCACATACAGTGCCATCTTTTCATCCTATTTCCTGGGAGAGTGTCTCAATCTTCTGGGGAAGCTGGGCTGTGTCATCTGTGTGGCCGGCAGCACAGTGATGGTCATTCATGCGCCCGAGGAAGAGAAGGTCGCCACCATCATGGAGTTGGCTTCCAAGATGAAAAACACAGGTAGGCTCCAAATATGGGAAGAGCCAGAAAACTTGGGGGATGAACCCTGCAGATGGTCTAATTGGTTCTGACTGTGTCAGATGCTACCACCTGGAAGAGAAGGCAACTTACAGAAATAAGATGGTGGGCTGGTACCTGATAGCAAGGGTAGCTAAAAGTCTTCCTGGCCTGATATACGCGGATATCATTTCTTGTTTACTGTGTGCCAGGCACTGTTCTAAATGCTTTGTATGCATTAGCTCAATGAACACACAAAACAGCGATTCCTGTTATTGGTCTTCATTCATGACTGTGTTCTAGAGCCCATGTTCTTAATGCTACCTCCCACTGTCATGGGTCTGGGGCCCTAGATGCTGGAAGTATCTCCTCAGCTGAGGTATTCTATCTCCTTCCACTCCCAAAGGGTTCATCGTATTTGCTGTGCTTCTGGTGGTGTCCTGCCTCATCCTCATCTTCATCATTGCCCCACGTTATGGACAAAGGAATATCCTCATTTACATCATCATCTGCTCTGTGATCGGGGCCTTCTCTGTGACTGCCGTCAAGGGTCTGGGCATCACCATTAGGAACTTCTTCCAGGGGTTGCCAGTTGTGCGGCACCCCCTCCCTTACATCCTGTCCCTCATCCTGGCACTTTCCCTCAGCACTCAGGTCAACTTTCTCAACAGGGCATTGGACATATTCAACACTTCCCTGGTGTTCCCCATCTACTATGTGTTCTTCACCACAGTGGTCGTCACCTCCTCCATCATCCTCTTCCAGGAGTGGTACAGCATGTCTGCTATCGACATCGTGGGCACCCTCTCAGGCTTTACTACCATCATCCTGGGTGTCTTCATGCTTCATGCTTTCAAAGACCTGGACATCAGCTGGGCCAGCTTACCCCATATGCACAAAAACCCAACCCCACCTCCCGCCCCGGAGCCTACTGTCATCAGACTAGAAGACAAAAACGTCCTTGTGGACAACATAGAACTTACCAACACCCCATCGCCAGAACAGAAGCCCAAAGTATTTATAATCCATTCTTAAAGCTCGTAATATATGAGTGAGAGGATAACCCCAATGGAACAGACTGACCTCTCAGTTTCAAAACCGCCTGGTTATTTTCAGCATGACTGTTACCAATGGGCTCTCTTTTCTTGAGATGTTAATTTATACCTCATCACTGTTTCCAGGAGAAAAATCCCTACACAGTGGGCAGTGGTGGCAGAACTTCCTGGAAACACAGCCTCAGTGACCAAGTGCCCTAGTTTACATTGGTGCCAGCAGGTCCCCTGGACCCTCCTTCCCATTCATTCCGCCAGTGCCATCTCTATGTTGTTGGGAAGAAGCTAGAATTTGACCCATTGAATGTAGCACTGCCTAAGGAGGTACTAGTCATCAGGAAATCCTTTATGCCAATTCTCCTGAGACTGCATCTCCATGCCTTAGTCCAAGGATGCAATTGAGCTGGCTCCCAGAGGCCCAGAGAGCAATTAGCTATGCCTGCCTATCCAGAACTGACAGGAATACAGCCAATATATAAAGCATCCTGTTGCTTTTGCCACTGCCGCTGGAGACAGAGGAAAGGCCTCAGCTGACTCTTCACTGTGAAAGCCACCTGATGTCTCAGGGAAAAATCGCAACCAGCCCATTCCCCAAGCACTGCAGCCTGGTGGTTAGCATCCTGGTGTCATCTTTACTCCATCCCCTCCCCTCTCAGTATTCACCCGAGGGAGCCGGTCACTGAGATGTGCAAGCAATAATCTTCTAACTCAAAACAACAACAAAGACATCTCACGACCGAGCTCTGCTGGCCAAGCTCAGTGTTACTTTTTGCTTACTCAAGAAAAAGAAGAGTAATCACACTGCTTTGAAAAGTGGCTTGGCTGCTGGGCTGGAATTTGGCAGAATGCATTTTCCTTTCCTTCAAGGAGTCAACCAATGTATGATTTGGGGAGGTGGGGAGGTATGTGAGGAGCAGAGCAGGATTTGGCCAGAAAGCAGTCACAGGCTCCCTGACTTTTGTATTTACTCTGGTGCCCAGCTGGAAACCCACGCAGTAAAAACTAAATTCTGGGCTGCAGCCTTAAAGACTTGGCCAGTGGGACCAGCCTTGAATCTCAGTGCCCAACTGGAGATACAGGCTTGGCAGGGGGGTGCCTTCTGGTTGTTGGCCAAGTGGCCACTGAATCCCCAACACCATTGATCACTGCCCACACTGGGAAGCAGCATGGTGACTGCTTTACCACCACCTGCTGTGGAGACTGCCTGTGGTCCCCTCACATGTGGCCAGAGGTATCCACAAAACAAGAGCAGCTGGAGAGGGATATGACTGACATCCCTTCCCTTTCCATCTTAGCTGCAAGAGTGTGGCCATTGGTTCAAGGACCATTAGAAAGGGAAATTGGGGAGGGAGCCAGAATATCTGGAAACAGGGAAGACCTGACCCTTATCCCCCACGTTGGTAGAACCTTTCCTGAGTAACTCCCTACCTATGGCCTGCCTTTACATCCTGCACCCTCAGAATGGCCAAGCCCAGGCCCAACCCTGGCTGGTCTTGGAGCTACGAAGGTTTGACTGACCACAGACCAGCTCCCTGCACCTCTAGCCTCAAGTTCCCAGTTTTTAATGAATGTGGATTTCTGTGACTAAAATCAATGCAACACTTTGGATCTTGAGAAGGGCAGTAGACTGAGGGCCCTGAGAGAATGGTCTACAGGGTCGAGAATAAAGACTGCAGCTTGTGTTTACTTGATGCTTGCATACTGATCTTCCTTGAATATGAAGCAACTAAATTAGTCCCTCTACTGCTGGCAGGCCAGTCCCCTGGCCCTGAAAGACATGGCTGCCAAGACAGTCTCTATGGTGCCTTTCAGAGTTATGCCCCAGCTAGAGTGGGGAAGGTTGTTTTTGGAATAGAATCAAAGACAATCCATCCTTAGTTAATGCCTGAGCCCTTACCAGGTTCCAGCCATAGTAAGTGCTTCACATGAATTCTCTTTAACACCTCGTAGATCCCCAAGGTGGATATATTTTTATCCTGTTTAGATATGAAAAATGAGGACACACAGAGATTAAATTTCTCAAGGTCACACAGCCAGGAAGAGAAAACGTTCATTTCTGGGTTCAAAACCACAGACTTAACCTCTAGGCACTGTGAGTTTCCCCAAAAGACTAAACTTGTTCCCCATTACAATATCTGATACCACTGTGTTCATTATTTTCCTGTGCCTGGTGGAAAGTGAATGAGATCTCCCCATCCAGATATGAGACCCATAAAGACTGGTCTTCTCATTGCTTATCCTCAGTGAAGAAACAATACGAACAACTTCTAAACTTTCTTGGGAACTAGTTCTGCCCCAAACAGATCCCAGTAGAATCCTGGCATATTAAACTGAGACACTAATGTAGTCAGTGGTTTCTGAGCATGCAGCCCTTGCCGGACACTACTGACAATCATGGCACTTTAAGAAGTAGGTAACATTCCTATATTTGCATAGCAAAGAATGACTCAGAGTTCTGGAATTTCTCTTGGCTCACACATCTAGCAAATAGCAGAGTCAGGATTTGAACCCAGGTCTATCCAACTAGGTTTTCTGCATTATGCTATAGACCAATAGATGACTATGAACCCAGAGACTGGCCAACAGAGTGGTCTATTACACAGGCAGAGACTAATTTCATGAGCAGGTGTGTTTAAGTGAAACACAATGAAAGCATTGTGTTTAGATACCTTTAGGGTTTTTGAGTAACCTCATAACCATGAGAGGTTAGAAAAGTATGACCAGATATCAAGAGCACCCTCTCAAGGTTTTCATGAAGATTAAATGAGATAATCCAGATAAAGAAAAGCATAGTTGTATGTAGTGCCTCACATGTATTAAGTACTCAGTTAATGTCACGTCCTATGACGGTCATTAGTATTCCATCTTTCTTAGAGAACTTCAAAATTGAGATGAGGGTCAGGCGAGAGAATGAGAGTGGGATCCTTTTGTGGACCGAGAAGGCTTAACGGATATGAGCTGTGTTATCACACAGGGCTCTAGAATCAGAAAGCACACCCAGCTCTAGCCCTGACTGAGCCACCTACCCAGCCCAAGAGGCACCAGGCAAGTCTCTCCCTCTTTAAGTTTGATCCCCAGTAATGAGATGATGAGGTGAACACAAGTTCTCAACTGTCTTCTAAATGCAATCTAGGATAAGAAGAAAGCATCAGAGAGTCCCAGGATCATTCAGGGCTTTGACTCTAGACCTAATTAAAGGAGACCAACCTGTGTGCAGGTGCAAAGAAAAATAGCCCCCTCTACTGGTCACGAGAAAACTCAGGGTTTTGGTCTGGCTGAATCTACCGCATGGCCTTACAGGTTGTACTGATGGTCTTTGCGGGGACTCAGAGGAGTCCGTGCGGCATGGATCCTATCCAATCTGAGCAATGAGACATTAAAAGAAACAAAAAAGAGCTGCCAAGCCAGATAACATTCCAAATGACAAACAATACACTTTAATTAAATACAAACAAGGAAAAAAGGCACCATGGCCTATTCAAGTATTTTGCATAGATGTACAAATATTGTAAACAATTAATAAGTGGACAAGAGAGAAGAGGATCTGTTTTCTGTGAACAATCTCCCAGATAAAAAGAAAATTCACATTCCCTGGATCCCAGACACACACGTACACACAGTGGATGGTGTGGGAGGATGCAGAGTGGGGGATGTTAGGGGTGCTGGGCTTGGCTTCAGCAGAACCTCTCCTTAGCAGGCTTCCATAGAGGCAGGGGTACCTTTCCAGTTGACATTCTCTTGGCTTTCTTGGAATGTCCAGCAGAGCTGCTAAATGCACATTTAACACAATTACAACTTTAGAAGTGGTTTCCAAATTGAAAAATAGAAATCTTCTATATCCTCTGTCAAATAAGAACAAATTAGGACAGAGGTAAGAGGAGATTTTATTCCAAAGGATTATTGCAAGAGATAGTAAGGAGCTACTGCAAGAGGAGCAAGAGACTATTGCAATACAGTGGACACTGTGACCACGACTCCGCAACTGTCTCAGACCTTTCGATCTACAAGCAGCTCAGAACTGGGGCAGAACACGGTTTTTCTTCTAGAGGGAGAAATCAACAAGGCCAAAGGGAACCTACAGCAAGCAGGTAGTGACCCCTTGGAGCCAGGTGCCCAAGCCGAAACTTCTAGGGCCTAGGAGACAGGGGGTGCTATCCTACCATGAAGTTTACATTCCAGAGATGGCGCCAAGGCCCTTAACAACACATCCCAGGACTGTGATACTGGCCCGAGGTTAATTTAGCTTTCGAAAAGGTTTACAGAAGTCTCCATCTGAACAAAGTGCTTTACTCATTGGCTCAAACTTAAGCTTCCTGCCTCCCCAGCAGACTCTGGACTTTGACCTTGCATCAGTCTGAACCTGCACAGAGGCCCCCCCAACCCAGGATCCACAAAGGCTGGGCGCAAAGACATCCCCTGAATGTGGTGCTTGGCAGCCACGTTTATTCCTTCCAATAAAAGAAAGACCATTTCTGCCTGGGCTTTGAGACCCTAACGCTAACCTTGGGGAGGTCGCTCTGAGAGTCTGCCCTGTTACAGTCGTTCCCTGCCGTTCCTGTTTATAAAATTCCCATTGCTATTCTTGCAGTGATTCTTTGGAATAAAGTCTCTTCCTGCCCTAAGTCCAGGTTGATTTGCATCTGACACCTCAAAGCAGTATGTTGGGTACAGGAGAGAAAAGGGGGTGCATAATGGCCGGTCCTCCTCCTGGGCAGCCTCCCCAGTGTGCGGGAACATGAGAGCAAACACAGGAGCCGGGAAGGAAATGGTAAATAGAAACTGCCACCCAACGTTTCTATCAAATCTTTTTGAATTCCACCATCTTCCAGTTCACAGTACGTTTGTGGATGGAGGTCGTATTAAAATAACGATGAAACAAAACAAAACAGAAACAGAAACAAACATAAAAGCAAGAAAACAACAACCCAGGTCTCTTATGAAAAAAAAAGGGGGGATCGCAGGTTGGGAAGGCTCCTGCAGCACAATGGTTGTGGCATTGTCACTTCAGAGCCGTTTACCTCTTGATGCGGGGGAGGAAGGCTGCGTAAGCCCCAGACACCAGAAACATCCATGAGGACCGGGGTTGTGTTAAAGGACTTTTTTTTTTTTTTTCTTTTTTGCAGGGGGTATTTTTCATCTTTGCTTTTATGGGACCAGACTTGAGGCATGAGGAAATGTGGGGTAGCACATTTAAATGGGAGACCCTCTTCTGACGTAAGCAGGCAGAAAGGAAGGAAGGCAATGGCTATGGAGAGCAAGGATGGCCGTGTCCGGCAGACAGGGCACACAGACCACAGCCGCCCGAGGGAAGAGAAACTCATTTCCCTGAGATCTTTCTAAATCCACCCCATGTTTGTCCCCAGGTATACGCCTCCTACCTCCCACTCATCTACTAACCCAAGAATGACTATGAAGCACCTACTGTGTGCGGAGAACTCGAAGGAGGCCCTGGGGTGGTGGGCGAAGAGTCAGAACTCAGCCTTCTCCTTGCACTGAGGTTTTTCAAGAGCGAACAACTGCTCGTTGCAGGAGGTGAGGAGGCCCCTGGAAATCCTCAAAGGAGTGAATATCAGGCCAGCTCCCTCTGGAGAGCCACACAGCACCTTTCTGGGGTGGGAGACAGTCTCTCAGAGAACATCTCCAGCTGCTTTGTAAGAACCGTCCCATCTAGCAGAGCACCACAAGGTCCCCTTCCCTTCTGCAGGGCGAATGGGACTCAATGGAGTCCAGTCCCCCCATCTGCTTAGAGCTTTCTTTTCGTGAGGGTCAGGTAAGGGCAGTGACCAGGAGAGAACAAAAGGAAGTGGATGATCACAAGCCTGATTGTGGGGTAACTAGACTCCATTCCAACATGGCTGTGGATGTCTGCCTTCTCCAGGAACCTGACAGTTGCCGTGGTTAGAAGTAGTTCTAACCAGTGGCCCTGCCTCAAGTCAGTGACCAGACCTCTAGATACAGGCTGACTCCATGTGTATACTCTTTAGGAGCCAAAGTTCCTAAGATGTCTGTTCCCTTCAATATACCCACTACCATCCCTGGGGGACCACGCCTAGACCTAGGCCAGGAAGGAAGAAGACCCCTAGCCTGCTAAGGTCATAAAACACAAAAAGAAACAACGATACCACCCCATGGCCATGCCTCAAGTCTACTTGGCTCAACACTCTTGAGGTCCAATGTAGGACATCCAGAGGTCAAGCCCTGAGGCAGGGCCTGACCTGTAGGTCATAAGCACCAGGCACCAGGGAGTCAGGACTGCTGCAGGTCCCCTCACAGGAGCACCACATTTTAGAGGAGTCTGAGAGGGGAAGGAAAGGGAAAAGCCGGGGGTACCAGGAGAGTGCAGAAGAGAAAACAAAATAAACCAAGAATTCCCAAGAGTCAAGAGTCTCAAGAGTCGCAACCTTTGGCATCATGGCTCAGAGGAGGCCCAAGCCTGGTGCTCCCCCTGCTGTCTACATGGTCTACAAATAGTACCTGACTGAGTCAGTGTGACCCATATGAATAAGGGGAATTGGGGTCTTGGGGGGCAGTGGGAAAATACTTGGCTCATCACACCACATAGCAAGGAGCCATCACATCAACCACGGCCTGGGTAGGGCCACAGCAATGGCAGGTTTGGCCCATCCTCAATCCCTAAACGCTGAGAGAGGTGAGAAGATATCCAGCCTCTGTCTAGACCAGACCTTCAAGGGAGACAGAAGCAATGGGAAGCTCTCAGGCGTATCCTCCACTAACGGACACAGGTGGATGGCTTCTCCAAGATAATCCCTGGGCTGAGAGGCCAAACAGGACTTTTCCCAGCTGGATTGGCCAACCCAGACAGCCTCCACCACCTCCAGAGGCACTTCTATGCTCGGAGGATGGAGGGAGAAGCTGCCATTCATCCTCTCTCCCCTTTCTACCCGGGGCTATATTGCACTAAACACCACTGAGAAGCCATTGATGGTAGTCCTGCTGGGCCTCTAAGGAAGCCAGAGAGGCAGAGATTTTTGGAGTGTGGTGGTTCCAGGAGGAGAGCAGGAGCTCAGAGGTGACCAGACATGCTTCTTTCAGATTCCGTGGCTGTGGATTCTGTGGTGTCCAGAGTCTTCATGTCAGAGTCCAGAAATTTCTTAGTTAGGCCTAGTCATTCTCGAGCTAGTCATCCCCCCAGCCCTCTGTGATTTGTATTCAGGAAACTGTGGGAAGAAAGAGAAGGAAGGAACAAGGACATTTATTGGATGCTGACCAGCGGGATCAATGGGGAGTCACCCTGTGTTTGACTGCGTGGAAGGGATACAGGATTTCAACGTGTCTGCTCGTCCAGCCCAGCGATAATGGAGGCAGATGCCCCAGCCTCAAGCTGATAGGTCTCCCCTTCCCCCTCATTTCCCCTCTATCCCAATGCCTCATGGGAATGTAGGGCTGTCAAAGACTTCCTCATCTCACCTCTTTGCTACCTACCCCCTGGAATAGGCGATTTGAGACTGCCAGCTGCAGGGAAGAAGTAATAAGAGGGGCCATTTGTGTGCAGACCTACATAAAGTAACTGCCATCCTCTTCTCACTAGTCTCATGAGGCTGGTTACTGCTGCTTGTCTCTGCCTAAGGAAACTGAGACTCAAGAGAAGAACCTGCTCCTGGCTGCTCACCTGGTCTGCAGCCACCACAGCTCAGGTCCTAAGTACAACCTTTCCCATGAAGCCAAAACACCGTATCTCTAATTTGAGGGATCTTTAAGCAGGCAGCAAGAAACCCTAAACTTTAGTCTTTGGCTTTCGGCTTTTGTTCTGCAAGCTCAGCCCTGACAACCAGAAGGATGAACTGGTTTATTTTGTCACCACGCACTTGTCCCCCTGCAGCCTCCCCATGGACTCACCTTTGGAGCAGTTGTTGCCAGAGGTCGGGGCGGCTGAGAGGCAGCAGGAGGAGGCCACAGCGAGGAAACCCCACCTGGCCTGGGCAGAATGCGGCGGCCTGGTACTGGGTTTGCCGGGAGTGCTTTCTGGGGTGGCCGAGGCCTGGAGAAATCCTGGAGAGAAAGCAATAAGCCTCACTCAAAGGCCAGAGAGCTCATTTGAAAGAAAATATGCCTGATAGCTAAGAGGTCCAAGCCAGATATTGATCAATTTTGTTTACCATTTTCAAAAACTCACCCTAGAGGGCCAGCAGGTGGTGTGGTAGTTAAGGCACTGGACTCCCACATGGACAACTGCAGTTCAAATCCTGGACTGGCAGCTTGAAAATAATACCAGGCACATGTGCAGGTATGCCCAAAATCCCAGGAGGAGAATAAAGGAGAAGGGATTGTGTGGGGGATTTCTCACACTCCCTCCTATTGTCTCTCTTTAGCAAGTGTACATACCCTGTGACAAAAACCTGAAGAAAAAAAAAAAAAAAGCCACTGTGTGCACACACGGGAGAGAGAGAGAGAGAGAGAGAGAGAGAAATCCCTGGCAGGATGGCCATGCCACAATGCCGTCTCCTCCATTCTCTTCTCAGAATTTTGGGCGTGCGTGCACAGTCATTTGTGTGTTTTTCAAGCCACCGGGCCCTCAGATCAGGCAGTAGGCTATGTGGGATCCAGTCACCCTAACCAGTAGCCACTGGTTGGCCCTCTCTCAGTGTTTAATGATTTTGTTGCTGTATCTTATAATTATATTTCAAATAGCTAGAAGAGAGGATTTTGAATGTTCTCACAACAAAGCAATGACAAATGTTTAAAGTGATAGATAATTATCATAACCTGATCATTACTTACTCTACAAATGTATAAAAACATTGCATTGCACCCCATAAATATGGACAATTACCGTATTAATTTAAAAAGAAACTTCTCATTTTATTCCATAAAAATTCTAAGAGTAATTAAAAACCTACATTCCATGTCTAAACGCTAATATAATTCTTACATATAGACTGTGTGGTCCCATTTAAAAAGAAATTGTGGAGACCGGCAGATGGCATAATGGTTATGTCGCTGGACTCCCACATAGTTGACCGTGGTTGAGTCCCGAACCCGCAGCTTAACACTTGTGCTGGCGTGTGAGTGTTCATGCCCCAAATCCCAAGAGGAGACTGAAGAAGAAGGGACTGCAATGTGGCCACCCCCTGGGGGGTGATTTCTTGGTTTGTCTCTCTGGCAAATGCACGTGCCCTATAGCAAAAATCTCTCTAAAATATAAATAAATGAATGAATAATGAAAAATAGTGTGTATGTGTGCATATAATGTGTTTACATGCTCAGGATAAAGCCTCTTTGGAGAGCAAGTCGGCAGTATCTACTAAAATTAGAAAAGATCATTCTCTGTGCCCATGTTAGTAAGCTATTTGCAAAGGTGCACGAAAATGAAATCACAAGGAGGTTCCTTGCAGCACCATTTATGACCACAAAGAAAATGTGAACAACAACGTTTCCACCCATGGAGAAATAACTAAAATTATACAATGATATATGATATGCCACTTAAAATGTGAAATTTCTCTGATTGGCTTAAATGTGAGGTGGGATGAAGTGAAGAGGTGTTCAGGGGTTGTTATGCTGGGTAAGAAAGGAATTTTGTGTAAAGTAAGTAACCACAACCCCTATCTCATGTAAACATAAATGAGCAGAAAAAGGTCAGGAAGGATCCGATCCAAACCAGTGACAGAGGTTACATGGGGACGAGTGTGAGTGGGGAGTCCAAGTGAACATTCTACTTCTTGAACACATATGGAACAACATGTGCACTGCCGGGCCAGCCGCGCAGTGAGTCCTGGTCCTGGCCGCTGGAGAAACATGCTGGGGCATGAGTGTGTACCCAAAATCCCAAAGGAAGGGAGAGATGGAGGAGAAGGGATTGCAGCGTGACCATGCGCCACAGGGCGTGCTTTTGTGCTTTCTCTCTGCCTCTCTGCGGAAAGCACATTTTTTGCACTCTAGCAAAAAAAAAAAAAAAAAAAAAAGACAGTACCCTTCACCTTGGCACTTGGCATTCCCTGAGCTTTTTATCTTCATCTGCTTTTTTTTCTTTCCATATTGTTTATTCTGTTGCAATATATATATAATTTATTAATGTACTGACTTAATTTTTTTTATTCTGTCTCTCTGTCCCTCGGTACAATGGAATTGGGGCAGGAGTCCTTGCCTGTGTGGTTCACTGAAGCATCTCAAGCTGCCCAGCAGTGCCCAGTGTACCATAAACAGTCAATACATAGTAGCTGAATAAATGTGCTAGTCAAATGTTTAAAAAATAAATATGTATTTCTGCTGCAGCTCAGAATGCTTCTTCTTTAGGTGTGTGTGTGTGTGTGTGTGTGTGTTACTTCAGACAGGGTCTTGCTGTGTCACAATCCTCCTATGTGCCATCACACCCAGCTTTTATGATGAGCTGGGACTTGAACTCGGGCATCTCATGTGGCCTAGCCTGCCAAGCAGTAGAATCCAGCGTGTGCTACTGTGAGTGGGCCTGAAAATAACATTTTCCGGAGGCAAAGCCACAGGTGCCCATGCGGGTGGTTTCAAAAGAGAAGTGGATTCTGCAGGTGGAGGGTCTGCTGCCTTGACTGGTTCCCCTTCTAAAGAGGTCGGTCACAAGCGCGCACATGTGCAGAAGGCAGGCAGGCAGACAGCAGGATCAACTCAGAGAATGGAGATTTTCTGCAAGAAGCTTCTCGGTATCAAGAAACAGAGCAGAGACTAAAGCTCAGAGGACAAAAGAGCAGCAAAGTTTGTGACCAGAAAGCCACATCCTTCAGCTCTATGCTTTCCCCAAAGAGTAACGTCATACCCCACCCTCCCCACCCCAGGCCAACTGTCAAATTAAGTGGCGCTGGAAGCCAGGATAGAAACCTGGGGGAAACAACAGGTGGGTGCAGATGTCAGTTTGCGGTTGGGAAACGCCTTGCTCCTTCCGCCACTTGCTGTGCAAAACGGGCCTCCAGAGGAACCAGCAATTGGCATAATGGCTATGTCGCTGGACTCCCATGTAGTTGACCACGGTTTGAGTCCCAGACTTGATGGCTTAAACTCCCAGACCCGATGTGTGTGCATGCCCAAGATACCGAGAGGATAATGGAGGAGAAGGGATTGGGGTGTGGCCATCCCCCCCAGGGGGTCATTTCTTGCTTTCTATCTCTCTGTCTTTCTGGCAAGTGCACGCTCACTATAGCAAAAACCTCTAAAAAAAAAAAAAAGCCTCTAAGCCTGTAGGGGTTTGTTATCTGGGCAAGAGCTTTACCAGCATGTCAGCACTGGGCCTCCCAGGGCAGGCCAGCTCCATCTGATAGGACAGCTTGGCTCTACTGGGGCCTTACCCAGCTCTGTTTTCCCCAAGCAGAAACAGTCCCTGAACCACTATGGCTCACGGCTCCCTTTCTCGAGGGGAGGCATCTCATCAGTCAGGTGGCACTGGGGCATGCATTCCCTGCCAGCCCGTTTCCCATGGATCCTCAAGTCCTACGTGTGTCTTTTTCACATTCCTCATCGGCTTCGTGATATTGTCACTGCTGCCCTCTGCTCCAAGCGATTATCACTTCGTCTCACAGCACCGAAACCTTCCTACTAGGCTGTCCATTTGCCTCTAGAGGGATCCTTTCATTGCTGAAATTTTTTTTTATTACGTTGTTGGGGCAGTCATTATGTATTTTTCTATTTTTTTCTGAGCGAAAAGGTGTCATAACTTCCTGGACAATCCATTAATTGAAGTGTAATATACACATAAAAAGGTACACAGATGATGAATACATACAAAAAGGTTCACAGATGATGAATACACAGCGAGAGGTATTACCATAGAGTGAGCACATTCATGGAATCCTCAGGTCAAAAATGACAAGATTGGCAGCCCCAGAGGCATCTAAGAGCCCGTGCCTCATAGTCCTTCCCCCTTGCCTAAAGAAAACCCAAATATAGGACCTGCTAAATGGCAAACTTCAGCATGTCACCATGCCCCTTCTCCACTGTCCCCTTCCCCTTGGATGCAGACCAATCTTGACTGAGGCCCATGTGGCCCAGGCATGTACAGCCTACGTAGCTCTCTGGCTTCATCTCAAAGCTCCTTGGACCCCAGGCACAAGACCTTTAAATCCCTTCAACTTGTGGGGTTTTCTCTCATTACAGAGCCTCCCTGCTAGTGGATCCCTGGACCAGGAAAGCTCTTTTTCCACCTGCTCCTCATAGCCTGATTAACTCCCGTGCCTCCTACATGTCTCAGCTCAAATGTCACCTCCTTCGGGAAGGTTGCTGGATCTGCTAGACCTGGTGTTTCTGAGCACCCTTTCTGCAGGCACTTGTCACTGTCCAAACCACATGTATCCTCCAGCTGAGTGGGAGCGCAGGGAGGCAGAGCTGCAATCACTTTGCTCACCACCACCCGGCTCAGTGGAGAAGCTCAGAGGCACTTGTGGAAAGGGCAGAAGAGGTTAGGAAGTTTCACACACTCTCTCTCCAGGGTGCTCTGCATCACCCAGCCAGCGGACGGTGGAGCTGAGAGTGCAGGTACTCCCAGGGCAGTGAGGTGTCTCACCCTGAGTGAGACCTGTATTCATGGTCTGGCTCCTCTACTCACACATTGTGCGATCCTGCGAGATTCAGCAACCTTGGCAAGCAATCTTGGCAGGGTGGCGATAGCTTGGGTCTTGGAATGGCTTTGAAGAGGGCAGTGTCTGGCCTGATCATATCCCTGCAGCTGCCTGCCACTCCTGACCTCAGAGAAATCCCCGTCTGGGCACCAGGGGCCAGAGAAGCTGTGCTTGAGACCTGTGTGTTGCTGTGACATGTGCAGTGGCCGGGTGGCCCCTTGGGCTCAGGACTCTAGCCAGCAGCCCTACCAGCGAGAAGGGTGGGGGCAGAAGGAGCCACCCTGACTGCTACCCTGCTGGCTTCCTGCTGTCCTGACACCCCCTCACCCAGTGTCAGAGCCTTGGTGACAGGCCAGGCTTGCCTGTGTCCTCTGAACAATGGCACCGCTCCCTACACACTCCTCCTCCCTCCCAGGACCCCTGTACTCCCTTCACGCTTGTCTTTCCACGGCTACTTTCTCCCTTGTTCTCACTTTCTCTTTGTTATGCTTCCTCCTCTCTGTTATAAGTGAATTATGCAACCTCCCCACTTCTCCCCCCAAAAAATATGTTGAATCTACCCCCTAGTACCTCAGAATGTGACCATATTTAGAGATAAGGACCTTAAAAGGCTGATGAAGTTACAATGAGGCCACTAGGGGAGCCGTGATTTAACCTGGGGCTTTTACAAGAAGAGGGAATTTGGACGCACAAGAGAGAGAGCAGGGAAGCGTGTGCACAGGACACAGTGGTGAGGCGGCCGTCTGCAAACCAAGGGGGCTCAGGAGAAACCAAGCCCACCAGCACCCGGGTCTCGGGCTTCCAGCCTCTATAATGGGAGGAAGAGTGTGAGCCACCCAGCCCAGGTGTTCTGTTAGGAACCCTAGCAAAGGAGGATGTTCTCCCTCTCCTCTTCCCTCCTTTTGGTTCTCCCCGTTTCCCTCCTTACTCATAATTCTCATCAATCCTTCCTCCCTTTCTGCGTGGATCCTTCCACCCCACCTCAGCCCATGCAAGAGAATGAGGGAGCAGCAGCCTCACTTCAGAAACCAAGAACTGATGCTGTGAGCTCTGTCAAACTGACACCATCCCTCCCCCAGGAACCCTCCACAGCCTGCAGCCAACCCCACAGTACTTGGGATCAGGGACAGCCCGAGCCCCAAGGGCCCTCCTGGACATGCTAGGGGAAGCAGTCTCACTTGAAAGTCATTTCTCAAAACACACAGGCCAGGTCCAGAAGGCACCATGCCCAGGCACCGCAGAAATACCGTGTCTGCACCAGGGAACTTCTGCCAGAAGGTGTGGTTGGAGCTGCCACAGCAGACTCCTCACAAACAAGCTGCTATGGGGGAGGAGGGCTCTGCCCCTTGTCGTGCCTTTCAGACCTCTCTCAGAAAGAATTTCTATCTGGAGGAATACCAACAGGTACAATTCCGTGGGCTAAAAACTATGATAAGAAGAATACAGGGGCACCAGACTCAGACATGAGGGGCCAGAAAAGGCTTTTTTGGAAAAAGTACTGAGTCATCAGAAAAGTCACGACACATTTTTGCATTGAAAAATAGACAAATATGGGGACCAGCAGCTGGTGTAATGGCCATGTCGCTGGACTCCATGTAGTCAAGTGTGGTTCGAATCCCAGACCCAGTGGCTTAAACTCACACCAGGCACGTGTGCATGCGTGCCCAAGATCCTGAGAGGAGAATGGAGAAGGGATTGCAGCATGGCCATCCCCTCTGGGGGGTGATTTCTCGCTTTCTCTCTCTCTCTCTCTCTCTCTGTCTTTCTGGCAAGCGCACACACCCTATAGCAAAAACCTCTCCAGGAAAGAAAAATAGACAAATACATCATGACTTTCTGACAGTCAATAGCATCCAAGAGCAGACTGAGGATGAAGAAGAACTGATGCAAAGGGCAGAAGAAAGTACTACGCAGAACAAACAGCATTTTCAAAGACCGGGAGGGGAAGAGAGCATGGGGAACTGAAAGCAGTTAATTTCGGGTGGGAGGCAGGCAGTGGTTTGTCACGCAATAGGCCAACTAGGGAAGAAAGGCCCTGTGGTCTGGGGGCTGCTGGGAGTGTGTTTTCCCATGCCGGTAGCACTAACTCTCCATGAACACCCATGTTCACCAGGATGCGGAACAGGTGGTCAGCTCACAACCGAACAAGTTTCATCTTCCCAGTCTCAGATATTACCCACTGCAGGGGGCCTGAGAAGCGAGGCTCCTGGCCAGAGCCACTGAGAGTCCACTTACCTGGGAAGGGATGGAATTTGGTGCCGGGGGCACAGGCCGGCTTGGGGGAGGCCTCCTGGATGACTCCTTTCTCTCTATTTGAGACCCAGGCCCAGGGGAGCTCTTAGCAGTCCTGCTCAGGTGTGCTGGCAAAGGCACAGGTGAGGACCTGCTGTGCAGATAGTCAGGAGGGGGCCGGGGAGGAGGCTGGGATGGCTTCCGTAGGGTTTCAGGGGTGTTGGTCACCTGCATACACAAGAAAAAAATGCCTGAGACACAGGAATCCTAACTGAAAAACTCAGGGCTGTCCTGGTGTGTCTCTTGAGATGACCAGAGACTAAGAGGAGCTGACTGGTTAAAACTACAGAGGCGCCTACCGTCGGGTGCCCTTAAAGTCATTAGGGGACATCTGGACTAGACTTGTTTCTCAAGCTGGTAAGATGGCTTTTATTACTGAAACCACAAGCCTACAGAGGCCCTTAGGAAAACCCAGCATGGTTCTGAGGGATAGAGGGGAAGTAGTGAGGCGCACTGGGGTAAAGCCCTTACCTTTCGCTTGCCCTGGGGCGTCTGCAACTTGAAAGTTGGGTTGGCATGGCCAGTTCCACTGTTCTGAGACACCCTGAACGGACAACTAGAAATAAGAAAGAAGGAATATCCATTACGGGTCAGTGACCCAGTCCCTTTGACCCAAGCACAGCCACCAAGCAGCTAAGTCGGCCTCAAGTCTGTTCTGGAGGAAATAGGATTTATTCTTTTGAACTTTATCTTCTTAAGTAAGGAGACATGTGTGGAGAACTCCCAAGGAAAAGGAGTTGGCTTTATACAACTTTATACAGAGTTTCCTTAGCACCTTCTCTTCATCCTCTTAAGACCTTTTCCCCTAAGAAGAAAATAACCACTAACCAGTCCCTATCAGATATAGATTCTGAACGATTTAAAAATTCCCTGCAGAACACATGTAATTTAGTAAGGGACTCAGAAACTATATCTTCAACATCCAAAAGAATGAATCACTTAAAAGACGGAAAAAAAAGGTAGTCTTTTTCTTGAGTTGATGAATAGCCACCCATCCTTCTGATGGACTTGGACTAACCATTTCTTCTGTTTTGTCAGTTTCCCACTCTTTGTAATGGAGAATCTTCAACATCCAAAAGAATGAATCACTTAAAAGACGGAAAAAAAAGGTAGTCTTTTTCTTGAGTTGATGAATAGCCACCCATCCTTCTGATGGACTTGGACTAACCATTTCTTCTCTGTTTTGTCAATTTCCCACTCTTTGAAATGGAGAACAAATCAATTAGATTTTTTTTTTAATGGCAAATTGGTTTGTTTTTGTTCTTGTTTTAAGTTTATAGAATGTGTGCATATTCACCAGAGGAAAACAGAAAGAGAGGAAGGTATGAAATCACCCCCCGGGAGGGATGGCCACACCATAATCTCTTCTCCATTCACCTCACAGGATTCTGGGCACACAAGCACATACACCCAGAGTGTTTTTCAAGCCCCCAGTTTCAGGACTTGAAACACAAAGTTGGCCATATGAGATCCAGTGCCTTAAGCATCGCACCACCATCGGGCCTGGCAAATAGGTTTTATTTCTTATCCAACTTGAACTGGTTGGGAGCACTCTACAGAGAAGGACTCTGCAGTGATGGCCAGGTTCAGCAAAGAGTACTTAGAGTAAGATCGTCTAGTAATGTCTGCCACGGTCACAGAGCACGGCAGCAAGGGAGACGGTAGCATGTACCTTGAATGTACTTACTGAATTTTCCCTGAATTAGATCTACCACAACAAACTCCTTCAGAAAGTACTGCTCTTGGAAAGCTCTGTGATGTACAAGTGGACCCTCCATCCTCTGTGGGAGCCTGTCATACCTGAACTGTTGCCTCAACTTGGAGGGGAGAGCCGAAGGCTTGAGTCGGCCCAGCCTGTCCTGTTTATAGCAGTAGTACATCAGCCCCAGGATCACCAGCACACAGATGGCTGCCAACACTCCGGCTACCACGGCACCGGCACCTTCCAGAAAGGGAACCCAAGGGAGAGATTTAGAAGTGGCAGATTCCAAGCCACATATTCCTGATTCTTCTTCAGATATAATTTTAACTTAGTAATGGCAGTAAAATCATACATTATGCTCTACTGGAAAAATCACTAATATTAATTTAAAGATCAAGGTCAACTTGCTTCGTGCAGTCCTTATAAACATCCTATAGCCACTTCTGTTCATTGAACAGTCTTTTTTGAGACAAGGAGTTCAAGTGCTACTGTAATTTGTCACTACTTTTCAGCCTGAATCATGATTTTCCTGGTCATAAAGCAACCAACATAAAATATTGACCAGCTTAAGCCTCAAGCTCTCACCTGTAACCCACAGTTTCACATTTGATTTCATCAAAACTGCCTCAATGTTCTCACGAATTTACATTTAAATGTATAAAATATATATTTAAACCAGTGAAAGGTGACTTTTATGTTTTATACATTATCGTTTTTTTCCTCCCAAGATTTTTTTTAAAGTACTTTGCTACTGTTTAAAAAAAAAAGTTTGGGGGAGAACCAGCAGTTAGCGTAATGGCTATGTCGCTGGACTCCCATGTAGTCGACCGCGGTTCGCGTCCCGGATCCGGTGGCTTAAAACTCACGCCGGGCGCGTGTGCGTGCGTGCCCATGATCCCGAGAAGAGAATGGAGAGAGTTGAAAGCTCTGCATTTAAAATAAGGCTTATGCATAATTCATAGACTATGCATGTTTATGTAAATTACCAAAGGCGGAAGTGTGTACGAAACCAGAATCTGAGGTAAAATGACGATGTTATAATATACTGCTGGACTTGCGTCTCGTCAATTGAACATACCCCCGTTACACTATTCTTGAAAATTATATCATATGCCAGTTCACACCAGGAGACCTAATAAAACTTTGAGGCTTATATCCAATGTATATTTTTCAACATTTCTTTCAGATCCAATATATTATTAAATACTGAAACTTAGCCATATATAATTCAGACAGCCTAAGAATAAAGATGTACACAGAGATTCCTGTAAATGGGTGGTACCTAAGTTTAGGGAAATAGATACTGTGCCTAGAAATTTAATTTAAAGACAAAAAGATTTCTAACCTATGGGATTTCCACTAAAAAAAAAAAAAAAAAAAAAATCCATAAAAACTTACCTGAGTGCCTGGTTCTTTATTTTATTTTTTATCTTTAAAGACAAGATCTCTCCATATCACGAACCCCCTGCCTCAGCCTCCCAAGTCATTGGAATTATAGGCACATACCATCATGCCTGCCTTTGGGTTGGGCTAGGAATTGAACTTGGGTCTCCCAGGTGGTTCCAGCCTCAGAACACAGTGTCTCAGCAGTGTGTAACTAGTGCAGCTGGGCCTGGTTTCCCATTTTAGCCTTTTGTTCACCCAGAGAATTCTAAACCACCATAATGTGCCCCAGGTTCATAATTATTTATAAGTGCCCAAAAAGGACCAGTCACCAACTCACCTTTCAAAAAAGGATGGGAATAGTCACTGACCCACATTCTCTCTTAATCTCTAATCTACTAGGCAGGTTCACCCTCATCAGCAGAAAGGACAGCAAAAGAGACTGAGCTGAGTCCCTCCCCCGGCCGCTGACCTCCTTTGCTCTCACAGTTGGCTTTATTTATTTATTTATTTTTTGCTACAGGGCGTGTGCACTCACTGGAGAGACAGAGAGACAGAAAGTGATAAATCACCCCTCAAGGGGGATGGCCACACCATAATCCCTTCTCCTCCAGTCTCCTCCTGGGATCTTGGAGACACATGCACATGTGCCCAGCATAAGTTTTAAGCTGCCAGGTCCGAGACTCAAACCACAGTTGACTCCGTGGGAGTCCAGCAACATAACCATTACACCCTCTGCTGGTCCCAACTTTCTTTAATAAAAAGTTTATTTCTTTCATGAGAGTGAGAGACAGAGAGAAAAAGCAGATGCCATCAACAGTCTTATGCCAGGATCCTCCCCCAGCCTTCCCAGCCAGCCAGGATCACAGGCATGTGTGTGCACCGGTATGTACAAGTCAGCCTGAGGGCCAAATCTCCACTCTTCCATGTGAATCTAGCCTCCAGAGCAGCACACTACCGTCATGCCTCCCAGACTGACCCGCCATTTGGTCTCTCTTAGATCCCTCATCTACGAAATCGGGATAATGAAGCTGACTCACTGTGGATACTCTGCAATACGCTACCTGCCCTTGCAGCACTCACCCCCTCACAAAGGCAGTCAGAGGCCCTGAGCAAGTGGGGTACTCACCCTCGGGGGGCATAGGCCCGCTGTCAATGCTGCCCCCTTGACCAGGTGTGTTGCAGAAAGGTGGGGCCCAGCCCCGCCAGCAGTGGCAGTTCTGGTTGTTGTTGCAGACCTAGAACAAGGGAAGGGTAGTGGCATCAACACCTCAGAGAGCTGTGGCCCTCCCCGGGGCCTGCCTCTGTGACACCAGAGAAGAGCAACCCAAACCCAGTCATGTGTACCCCACGGGCCCCAGGCATGCGTATCTCCCAGGACCTAGGCACATGTACCCACCAGCACCCAGGCATACAAACTCCCCAGGACACAGTCATGCATACCCCAGGACCGGGGCACATGCACGCTCCAGGGCCCAGGCACACATAACCCCCAGAACCTGGGCACGTACCCCGTGACCATTGCACTTTTTCCCGCAGCCTTCAGTTTCAAAGAAGGAGGTGTTCCTGCACTGCCCCTCAAAGCAAATCTGTAGTGAGGAGGACATAAGACCATTAGTCCACTGGAAGGAACACTGGCTGGGAATGAGGAGTTTTGTACTTAGGACAGACGGGGACCCAAAATATAATATTAAATACATGTTGTTACATTATACAGTGATATGTTAATATATATCATGCTGATCATATGCTCATTACTTAATTATATACTGATATGTAATAGTTTTAATATTATATCTAAAAATAATGATAGTGACAGCAGCCTACTCCATGCTGGGCACTGTACCAAGAGCCTCAGATTTTTTTTTTCTTTTTTGGAAAGGTTTTTGCTATAGGGCATGTGCACGAGACAGAGAGAGACAGAGAGACAGAAAGCAAGAAATCACCCCCTGGAGGGATAGCCATGCCACAATCCCATCTCTTCCATTCTCCTCTCAGGATCTTGGGCACGTAAGCACATGTGCCTGCTGTGAGTTTAAACCACTGGGTCCAGGACTCAAACTGAGGTCAACTTCATGGAAGTCCAGCAACATAGCCATTACACCAACTGCTGGTCGCGCAGATGGTGGTTAAAGCGTCAGTCACCATCATGGTCACCTCTATGAGAGGGTTGGCATTATAATTCACATGGTAATCAATGGTGAGGAGAAGGTGACAATACTGGCCCACTTCAGTGCATTTTCTTTTTTTTTTTTTTTTCTTTAATTTGCTATGGGGCACAAGTGCTCACCAGAGAGAGAACTAGAAAGAGAGGGAAAGTAGAGAGAAAGCACCTCCGAGGGGGAATGACCACGCTGCAATCCCTTCTCCTCCATCCTCCTCTCAGGATTTGAGGCATGCATTCACATGCACCCAGAGTGGTTTTCAAGCCACTAGGTCTGAAACTTAAACTACGCAGTGAGCCATTTGGGATCCAGCACCTTAACCTCCACACCACCCCGGGGAGCCCATTGCTTCCAAGGTACTATCTCATTTCATTCTCTTAACAGTTCTACAGGGTGGGGCTTACTATCACCATACATGTTTTATCATGGAAGCCACTGAGGCTCAGAGACTGGGTGAGAAGCTGGAATTTGAGCCTAGACACCTTCCTCCAGAGCTCACACTTGTCAATCACTTTTCTCTGCAGCCGGGCTCCTCAGGGAGGCTGAAGGGAGGACTCACATGGTTGTAGCCACACTTGGTCCCAGTCATCACCAAGCCTGGATCCAGCATGTCACCCTCCTCCTCAGGACCTCGGTAGACATGGGTGCCCCGGCATCGGATCTGTCTCCCATTCATGATGATGGTGGTGTCGATGGACACCGCATTGGACTCCAGGGGCCGGGCCTCGGAGCTCTGACACTGGATCTTCCCACACTTGGCATCTCTGGGACCCAGACAGGGAGGAAGAAGATGGGATCAGGCAGGGCAAGAGGTGAGGCACTCAGGGCTTCAGTCAACCCAGACAGTAGGCGTGGTGGGGTGGGCAAAGTTCTGGGGCAGCCAGTGGGCACTAAGGACCCACCAGGGAAAGACTCGTGCAAATCTAGACCAATGAAAGGAATGAGCTCCTGGCACATGAGCAGCACTAGGCCGGAGTGTCCCTACTTTATGGACAACTGCCTGACCGGAGTGATCCGTCCCCTGTGCTCCAACACCACTGTCTCCCACACTCCAGTAGAAGCGTGGGGTCATCGCAGACTCCCCCCCCCTCTCTCTCTCTCTCTCCTGGATCAAGCAATTTTCAGTTCCTGTCAATCCCTTCTATATATCTAACCTAATTTATGTTTCCATCCTCTTTTACCTGCACTGCAGGAAGTTGACTTTCCTGCCTCTGATCTTGTCCCATAGAAATCCAATTTCCTCCCCACTCTCAAGCCAGAGTCCAAGCTTCCCTAGCCATGCATTCAAGGCTTTCTGTGCTCTGATGCCTGCTCATTTCTCATGGCCCCCTCTCCATTTCACCCCAATATTAGACTCCTGACTATATCAAACTGTCATCGGTTCTTCCAGCTGCCAGCTTTTCTTTACCCATCTCTATCTAGGGCACTCTCCTGTGTACCAGCATCACTTTTACTCTGTTCACCTAGTTAACTGCTTGAGAACTCAACGCAAGCATAACTTTCTTTGGAAAATAACCCTGACCCGCTAAGTTAGGCTGGGTGGTCTCTCCACATCTCCACAAGTAAAAGTTCCACACACTTGGCACAGTATCTTGCACATGGTCAACTCACAGATAGTGGATGAATGCATGCATGGGTATATGGGAGGATAATGGTAGGTAGATGAGTGGGTGAGTCAATGGATGGATGAGTGAGGGGTGGATGGATGGGTAGATGCCTGGTTGGAGTGAGTGAGTGAGTGAGTAAATGAGGGGTTATTCAGATGAGAGCATAATGAACAACCTGCTTAAATGACCCAAGGGGATCAATTCCCTGCCCAACTGTGAAGAGATCAACTTTCTAGGAAGCATTGCCACCCACACCCTCCCTCTGACTTCCTCAGGCTGAATGGTACATTGTCAAACAACTGCCAAGAATAGACTGACTTCAACTTGAAAGCTAAGCTCTGGGGCAGCCATGCTGCCGAGCTGGACAGGAATGAGGAGGAAGAGCAGGAATTGCCTTGTCCCTCCTCATCCATGGGCTCCACCCTGTGGTCATCACCTCATGTTGCACTTCCTGTGTTCACCATTCATGTCCTTCCCACAGTTTCCAAAGGTGTCTCCTGCCACATTCACTTTCTCAAAGCAGAGATCAGGGGCAGGCCGGGCTCCTAGGTGGGCAAGAAACAACATTTATTGGTGACTAGCCTGTCGGAAGCCCATGAAGGACAAAGTTAGCCTCTGTTAAAACATTTGGGAAGGAATATTTGGCCTCTTGTACTTTCTATCAGATTATTCCATCCCCATATTCTTAAGATGTACTCAGAGAAAAACGTTTTATATCACTTTTTTATGCCTTATTGAGAGTCTACACCTGTGGGGGGGGGGGGTTTGCATGCTAAACCTGCTCTCTAATGAAGGAGCCCTGTCCCAGTTCAGAGATTTTTGCTATAGGGCACATGCACTTGTCAGAGAGACAGAAAGCAAGAAATCATCTCTCAGAGGGATGGTCATGCTGCAGTTCCTTCTCTTCCATTCTCCTCTCAACATTTTGGGCATACACACACACGTACGCCTTATATGAGTTTTAAGCCACCGGGTCTGGGACTTGAACCACAGTTGACTATGTGGGAGTCCATCGATGTAACCATTAGACCACCTGCTGGTCTCATTTCAGGATTTTTTAAAATAGGGAATACATGCACAAAATGTTAAAGCTATAAAGTATGCATTTGCAATTTTTCC